TCTCTCTCTCTCTAAACATTCCAAAACCCTAGATCTACTCTCTCTCTCTAGTTCTTGATTTTTAGGCCTAAATACTCTCAATCTGTGAGTTTCCTCACCCTAGTTCTTTGGAGAAAAATGTTGAGCACATCGAGGACTTCGTTTTGATTGGAGCATCTAGTGTTTTTGACAATGTCAAGTCTACCCATCTTTCCTTCGTGGCTTTTTCTTTGAGGTAGGGATTCCTTTGACTCCTTATATGATTTTTAGCTTAATTATTTGCTCTTTGAAAAGGGGTTAGTTATTTGCGGATTTTTGGTAAAACCTAGGGTTTCGTTTGAGATCAAAAGAGGGGTTTTCCAAATTGATTCTTGAAAATGGTTAGGGGAAAATGGTTATGGATTATTTGAGTTGAGATGATAGAAATCTTTTCTTAAAATTGATTTTGTCAGAAAATGGGGTTTTGCCCTAATTTTGAATATTTGGGGATTGTGACAGAAAATGGAAAACATTGTTGGATATTGTGAAATTGGAACAAGGTTTATGATGGTGATGATGATGATGATGGTGGAGTTGGATATGTATTATCACTTCCATTGTAATTGATGAAATTGTATATTTTGAATTGAATTTATCTATGGAATAAAAATATCTATTTTGGGCTATCGATAGAGGATAGTCTTGATTGTTGTAGACATTGCATGAGGATTAGGTTGAATTGAAAGAAATATCTCATCCATTATGGATTTTGCATCATTATACATTGAACATTGTAAATGTATTTGTTTTTGAAGAAAAAAAAAAGTGAAAAATATAATAAAAAATTTATTAATTTTAATTTTTTTTATTTATAGATTTTAATGTATTTTGATTATTTTAACATTTTAAAAATATTTTACACAAAAGATAGGCCGAGATAGGTCTAGATATGTATATATAGTAGTCATATATATTTTGCTTTGTTCTTGGCCATTGTTCTTGTATTTTCAGAGACATGTATATATATATATACACACATATATATTAGATCCGTTTTTTAACAAAAGAAAGGCCGAGATAGGTTTTTCAACAAAGAGATCAGATCTATTTTTCAATTATTTTTCAACGGATAAAACAAAAGATCAATCTGTTTCAGTAAATCAGATTTGTTTCAACAGATAAGAAAGTTGAATTACTATTTTAACAGATAAAAATGAAATTGTTTGAACAGATAGAAAGAGTAGTAGGTTTGTGGACAGAGTTTGAATAGACAATTCCAAAAAAAAAAAAATGCAGTAGATAAAAAAATGATTTCAACATATAGGAATTTTGAACAAATTTTTCACATATAGAAATTTTGAACAGATATGGTCTGATTGATGATTGTTTGTTAGAAAAATTTGTAGATATATTTAAACAGATAATGGAAAAAATTGAATTGATAATAAAATTTAGATAGATATTTGAACAGATGGGTTAAAAGAATTGAACAGATAGAAAATAATTTGAACGGATAGATATAAATTTGAACAGATAGAAAAGAATTTGAATAAAAGATTTCAATAGATAGGAAAAAAAATTAAATAGATAGGGGTACAAAAATTTTGTACAGATAGGGAAAATTTTTGAACAAATAGTCAACGAAAGTCCACGGATAAAAAAAAGTCAATAGATAAATTAAGGGGTAAAATTGAAAACAAAATATCCTTCAAAACAAATAAAAGGATTTCTTATTAAACTATTTCACAAATGGTGCACTTCTCACCAATAAAAAATATCCACTAGACCTAATGTTTTATGCAATTACTATATTGGATTTATCACTAATTTTCTCAATTTTAATTTTTTGCCAAATATACAAAAAATACAAGAAATTTCGAAGTGCCCTATTTTTCTCTTATAAATTTCATTATAATCAAATGCTAGTAAGAAAATGTATTTTATTTTTCCTTTCTTTTCTTTCACTTTACTTTCCACCATTTGTTCTTTCTAATCAAGCGAAGGCAAGGGAAAAACTATATTTTCCCTTGAAATTTTTGGTTGACCTGATGATAGTTTGAAAATTTTGATTTATTTAATTGTTTTGGCATTCTCTCCATGTTTATGTAACACTCAATATTTCTAGTTGTTTGACAACTAATGTGTATACATCATAGGAACGCGTTTCCAACATTGCTTACAATATTGTAAATGGCATCTGCTCTCCTGTAAGAGACCCATCTGCCCCTGTATACATAACCATTGGCGATGGTGGAAATCTTGAAGGCTTAGCAACCAAGTAAGATCAATACATATACATACATATATATATATATACAATAGAATTGATTTTTCTTTGATATAATTGCCTCCAAATTTTGGCATAAGAAAATTAAATGCTTAAAATGCATTATTTTGTGGTGTTGCAGTATGACGGAGCCACAACCAACATACTCAGCTTTTCGCGAAGCTAGTTTTGGTCATGCCATTTTTGATATCAAGAACCGGACACATGCGTATTATAGTTGGCATCGTAATCAAGATGGGTATGCTGTTGAAGCTGATTCTTTATGGTTTTTCAACCGATTTTGGCATCCAGTCGATGATTCTACAAGCACCCAATGATGATGATATTAAGTCCAAGAAGAAAAAAGAAACCAACAAATAAGGAAAATTTGATGGATGATATAATACTGCTTTTGTTGTGTACTCTAGAATAAATACCCACCATTCATAGTCACTAAACATTTCAGGCTTGTCTTTGTTGAATCCTTCACTCATTTCATCTCTTTTTATGTGTTCACTTGTTCTACATTGTTTGCCAGTCTATTGATGCTTGTTATTGTGGAACTAGGGCCATAAATGTGCCCTAGCTGAATAATAGATTGTTCAAGTTTGGTTCAAATACTTTACAAGTTGTAAAATGTGTTCACATTTGATTTGTTTACATATAACGAGTCAATCTCAAACGAGTTGAACACAAGTCAAACCTCAAGTAGTTTTGTTTTTTATAGTACATATATACATATACATATACATACATATATATATATATATATATATATATCAAATTTTAACGAAGCGAATATGAGTCAAACTTGAATAGCTTGATTCATTTACAATCCCATGTTCAATTGAAAATTCTTGTAATTTTGGAGTTGGCACCAGCAAAGGATATGGAAAAATGAAGCAGCAGCAGCAGCTCGAACTACTTTCTTTTGAGTTGGTAACCTAAAATTGTGGAACTACGTTTGAGTTTGAGTTTGAGTTTGAGTTTGAGTTTAAAAACTTTCTAAGTTGGGTTTATTTACTTCTTAAGTGATGTTTCACACTGCTAAGTTGTGATGAGCTTAAGTCTACTGTAAATATATAGAAATGAATAAGATAAAATAATTAAGGAAGAAGAATATATAATCACAATCAAACCAGAAAAAAGAAAAAAAGGAAGAAGAATATAAAGAAAAGAAGGGTGAATTTTAGGTGGTTCAGCCATGAAAACCTATGTCCACGGGAGAAGATCACCAGCATTAATTTTTATTTTTAGTCTCTTATATAAATAAGCATAAATAAAATAATTATTCTTATGATCGATTCAACCTTTGATAGAAAAGATATATACATTGGTTATATTTCAACTCTTCAACGAGTTTAGTAATGAATATAACAATCCTATTGTTTGAATGGAGAGAAGAACCTATGATTAGCTTTTCAAAAAAATTTCTAATGAACGATTTCTATGGCTCAGATCTTAAGTATTCTCTTATTTATTACTTGGGTCTACTATTTAGGCAAAACGCTGTCACTTATTCTTTCTAAGAAACTGATAAAAATTCTAAAAAATGGAAAAAAGGGTTTTCGAGATGAGTATGAATCATAATTAAATGTCGATCTTTGTAATTTTTTTTAAAACTTATTTTCTGGGAAATTTACCAAGTGGAGCAAAGATGATTCATCTTCCAATTGTTCTAAGAATAATATCATACAACCAATTTCACGTACTTTTGTGTTTTAATACTTTTGAGAGTCAAATGTTTATAAAAACAAAAATAAAACAAAATAAGTTTAATTTTATTTACAATACACATTCACATATTTCAAAATAATTTTAGATTTATTATTCAGTCTTTACATATTAGGCATCTTAGTAATTTTGTGTTTTGATAAATATTTAATCACATTAAAATGCATCTTCTGTTGTAGTCTAGTTGGTTAGGATACTCGGTTCTCGCCCATGTATACTCATTTTTTGTGTGTTTTTGTTTGGTCTATCGATTCATTTGCAAATATTTTTAGATTTATAAAATAAAATAAAGTTGATTATATTTAGATGAACAAGAAATTTAATTTTATCTGGTTCTCACTTCAAAACATGAGAGAATATTGGCATGATGAAATTGGTGCAATGAATAATATGTATCCAGAATTTTTATACAAAAATTTACTATAAAAGAAAAGAAAATAAAATATGTATTCTAAATTTATTTTAGGTATGAACTCTACTGTATACATTAACTTTCTAAGTAAGATTTTGGGCACTTAAACTTTTTTGAAATTACCAATATCTCGATATGTAATTTGTAATATCCTTGTTCTGTAGTATGCTAATTGGTCCTTAACATGAATATGATTACGTGTTTGATATAATTTTGTGTGTCATTATGTGAAAATATGTGGTTTTGAATTTCTATCTGTTCACCGTAGGAATATTTGTTGATTATCTGCTTTGAAGATTAAATTGAAGGCCTTATCAGCCACAGAATCCGAAATTGATTGCGCCATTGTGATCAGCGTAATTTTTAGAGCCTACGGTGAACTTTGATTGGAAATTGATTTGGATCAGATTAAATTGATTAAATTGATGAATTAGTACCCAATTACTTTATTATTATTATATTGGAATTAGTGGAATTAGTTGTAATAGAGCACTACACCCTCAATTCTCTCTTTAGCTTCATTTGGTTGATTTTGAACTCAAAGAAGAGAGAGGGCCGGCTTTAGAGAGAGAGAGGGAGAGGATTGTGTAATCTTGGCTCAAGGTTTAGGGAATTTGAAGATTAAACTCAAGAATTTGCTATAGTTTGGAAGATTGAGCTCCTAGGTAAAGTAATTCATGAGTTTAATGTTGTAAATTGTGAATTCAAGTTTGATTAATGGTCAAGAACATGAGTTAGATTGATTATGATGAAATTGGGTTAGTTTTGTTGAATTTGAAGTCTTAGAACACATGTATGTAAGAAATTGCCATAAATTTTCATGTTTGAGCATAAAGTATGTAATCCATGTTGAGTTTCGATTAATGACCATGTATTTGATCATCTCTTCACCAATTAATTTGAGGATATTGTGTATATTTCACATGCAAGTGCAAATCATGGGAGTTTGAGTCTTGCATGTTTGAATCTAGTGTGTTGGTGATGAGTTTGAGTTAATTTGAGACATGCATGTGATTAAATTGTGAAATTGAGCTTCATTGTATTGTAATTTGGTGTTTACACCATGTTAGAATATGTATATGTGAAGTTTGAGCCAAAATCGTGCATTTGGAACCTTTGAACATCAAATTGAAGCTCAAGAACATGTTCTGGATTTTCCAGAATTTTGATGTCCGCTCGAGCGAGGAAACCGCCACTTGAGCGTGAAATTCGTGTTCCCAGTATTTTCTGCGGACATGGTGTCCGCTTGAGCGGGGAAGTTCACACTTGAACGGGGAGCCATGTAGAGAGGCCTTCCGCTCAAGCGCCAAAGTTCGCGATCGAGCGTAAATTTGACATATGCAGTACTTTTGCAGGCCTCGTGGGTCTGCTCGAGCGGGGAAGTCCACGCTCGAGCGGGGACCCTGTTTTCTGAAATTTTGAAAATACATTATGTGTTCCGTTTTCCGTTCTCTTTCGCTTGCAAACACTCTTAGGCATGCATTGAGCATTATAAATGAGTTAAAGAGATAAGAATGAAGCCTAAAGAGAAATATGTGGATTTAAGAACGGATTGAATTGTTTGTGACCCTTTTGTGTTCATGGAATGTGTAGGGTCGAGCTCCAGGGCAAAACAACCAACCGATCACTGTGAGTAATATCGATATTTTGAAACTTGTCATTTATCCAATTGCTTATTTCTTTATAAGCCTTATAAGGCCAGTTTGACATAAATGGGTGGGCCAAAGGCCAGTTTGACATAAATGAATGGGCCAGAGGCCAATTTGACATAAATGAATGGGCCAGAGGCCAGTTTGACATGAATGGATGGGCCAGGGGCCATTTTGACATGAATGAATGAGCCAGAGGCCAGTTTGACATAAATGAATGGGCCAGAGGCCAGTTTAACGTAAATGAATGGGCCAGAGGCCATTTCAACATGAATGAATGAATGGATGGACCAAAGGCCATTTTGACATGAATGAATGGGCCAGAGGCCAGTTTGACATAAATGAATGGGCCAGAGGCCATTTCGACATGAATGAATGAATGGATGGGCCAAAGGCCATTTTGACATAAATGAATGGGCCAGAGGCCAGTTTGATATGAATGAATGGGTCAGAGGCCAGTTTGACATGAAAGTTTAAATAGGCCACAGGCCAGTCTGACAAATGAAAGATAAATGGGTCAAAGGCCAGTATGCTTGGAACCACATTCACTTGACCTAAATTATGTATATATATGTTAAATAGAAATATGAATTGGGCCCAAGGCCGTTTGAAGCATGTTGTTCTACATATCGTTTGTTCAACTTCTGTATTTGATATTATTCACTGGGCTATCGCTCATGCTCATTCATGTGTTTGTAGGTGAGCCCAGAGAAGTCCAAACCCAGCCCCAATGAAGTCTGTGTGTGTAGACACCCCATTTTTGACTGTCCTCAAGACTTGGACGCCACCGGTTGAACACTCGGTGATCATCCTTGTTTGTGTTCGTCTTAAGTTCCCAGAGGTCTCGGCTACGCGTCTTGCCTCAGGATCTCTCAACTCGACTGTTTTGTGTCTGATTTTGCACCAAACACTTGTGTTTTTGCTTTGGAGGGCAGGGAATGGCTTGTTGGCCATCCCCACACCTCACCGGCCATGGCTTGAGGCTACCGGCCATTGGCTTGTTGCCATCGGCCAAATGTTTGGCCGACCGGCACTCTTTGTGGTCGACCGACCATCTTTTTGGTCAAATAGCATTTTTGGCTGGCCGACCACTGTACATCTTCTTTTGCAGATATTTTTATGCCAGCTGTGCTAGCTGGCATACACTTTGCTCTCCTCCATACACGTGTATGGAGGGATTTCACTCTTGTTTAGCTTGTTTTGGAAGCTTTGCAAGAGTGAATCTCTATAAGAGGGAGCCTCTTCTCCCTCCATTAGGGTTACAACATTTTTCCAGAGGGTTCTGATGTTAGGGTTAGGTTTTGCATATCCCCCATCTCTATATCTCTCTCTCTTTTGTGTATAAGTGTGTGTTTGGTCTTATTATTGCACACAAACACCCACCATTACACCTTACCTTGGCTATTGAGGTGCTAGGGAGCTGTTCTTGAAGTTCTTGACTGGTTTTGAACTCAAAGAACCAGCTGGAGCATTGTTTGTGAAGAAGGTCTACAAGGGTAACAATCTTACCCCTTTTTGTCCATTTTTACATAACTTTTTAACC